CAACACACAACTGCACACGGACAAACAACCACACACGGACACGACACACTCACACCCGCACAGGAACACGACACACAACTGCCCAGAGATGAACAAACAACTGCACATGGACATGGCACACACCTGCACAGAGATGAACAACCACACATGGACCTGACACACTCACACTCGCACAGGGATACAACACACAATCACACACGGATAAACAGCCACACATGGACATGACACACTCACACCCACACAGGGATATGATACACACAGACAAACAGCCACACACGGACATGACACACACCTGCCCACGGATGAACAACCGCACACAGACCTGACACACTCACACCCGCACAGGGATACAACACACAATCACTCACGGACAAACAGCCACACACGGACCTGGCACACACCTGCACATGGATGAACAACCGCACATGGACCTGACACACTCGCACCCGCACAGGGATACAACACACAGTCACTCACGGACAAACAGCCACACGTGGACATGACACACTCACACCCGCACAGGGATGTGACACAGAACTGCCCACGGATGAACAGCCACACATGGACATGACACACTCACACCCGCACAGGGATGTGACACACAACTGCCCACGGATGAACAGCCACACATGGACATGACACACTCACACCCGCACAGGGATACAACACACAATCACACACGGACAAACAACCACACACAGACATGGCACATGGACACAACACACAACTGCAGATGAACAAACAACTGCACACAGACACGAGACACTCACTCACACCCGCACAGGGATACAACACACAACTGCCCACAGATGAACAACCACACACGGACCTGACACACTCACACCCGCACAGGGATACGACACACAACTGCAGATGAACAAACAACCACACACGGACATGGCACACACCTGCACATGGATGAACAACCACACATGGACCTGACACACTCACACCTGCACAGGGATACAACAGACAATCACACACGGACAAACAACTACACGTGGATATGACACACTCACACCCGCACAGGGATGTGACACACAATCACACACGGACATGACACACTCACACCCACACAGAGATACAACACACAACTGCCCACAGATGAACAACCACACACGGACAGGACATGCTCACACCTGCACAGGGATATGATACACACGGACAAACAGCCACACACGGACATGGCACATTCACACCCGCACACGGATGAACAACCACACACAGACTTGACACATTCACACCTGCACAGGGATACGACACACAACCACCCACGGACAACCAACCATACTTGGACACTTGACACACGGACACACACCCGCACAGGGATACAACACACAACTGCCCACAGATGAACAACCACACGCAGACCTGACACACACTTGCACAGGGATACAACACACAGGGACAAACAACCACACACGGACGTGGCACACTCACACCCACACAGGGATACAACACACAATCACACACAGACACAACACGCACCCGCACACGGACACGACACGCAACTGCCAACGGACAAACAACCGCCCACAGACAAACAACACCCATGGACAAACAACCATACTTGGACACTTGACACACAGACACACACCCGCACACGGATACGACGCACAATCACACACGGACACGACACCCGCACGCAGGTACAACACGCAACTGCCCACGGACAAACAACCGCCCACGGACAAACAACTGCCCACGGACAAACAACCACCCACGGACAACCAACCATACTTGGACACTTGACACACGGACACACACCCGCACACACGGACAAACAGCCGCACAGGGACACCTGACACACGGACGCACAACCACCCAGGGACCTGTCA